ATTTCAGGCACCATTTAACACATCAGCTGTGATCTAATTTGAGATGCAGAAAATCAGCAAGTTTATGAAGTTCTAATTCATGGAACAAATTGGATGTAGGTTCTGGGCAACAGCAGGCAAGGACAGCCTGGACTTGGCTGATTGCGTGAAAACACAAGTGATTGCTGCAGGGTGCAGGTCACCCAGGGGAGTAGTTTGGGGATGGGGAAAAGTAGAGCACTGAGGAATGAGGGATGCTGACTGAAGACTGCCCCGGCTGTCACGGTGTGCAGTGCGCAACGCAGCTGGCATGGCTGCCAGTCTGCTCCTGCCCTGACTGCTTGACTTTGGACACAAAGTCCAGGTTTGACAACCTGCCAGGTGTTTATGGCACATATCAAACACTTCTAGCATGCAGTAATTTGTCATGTAACTGTACTTTGCCTCTGTTCTTTTAAATATGAGGATGGGGAGGAAATGTGATTTTTCTCTATATTCATTAGGTATTAAGAAAGCTCTTAGTCCTGTAAAACCACAAAAATGCACTGTAAGAATACAGTTCAGGTTACTGAAGTACCACTTGTTTCTCCAGTAAGTGTTAGAACTATGAGATTTAATTTAGATTTTGCTCTGTAGTCTAGCAAAGCACTGCTGAAGGTGATTTTTGACAACAGTAGCACTTGCAAAAGGTTCTCAGCAGCTTTCATTACAAGAATTAACTGCCTTGGAGTGCTGAAACATGATCATTTGACAGTTCGGACTGTACTTTAACCGTACTCTATAATTAGTAACCTGGTAGCTGAAGACAAGCAACATGTTTTCACTGAGGTTCAACTTCAAATGCCAACAAAACAGTGTGTCTGCTTGGGGTGAGGGGAGGGTTTCTCTGGCACCTCATGAACAGTGCTTAAACCTTCTCCTTTGACCCTTGCAGGGTGGTACGCTTACACAATATGAAAACAAGCTGAGGCTGGTGGAGATAGCGCAGGTCCCAAAAGCACATGTGGATGAATTCAAGTCCGTGTCAAAATTCAAAATATTCAATACCAACAATTTGTGGATTGCGCTGTCTGCGATTAAAAGGCTGCAAGAGAAGAACGCTATTGACATGGAGATCATTGTTAACCCAAAGGTAATCAGCTAGGAAGATCTTAGAGGAAACAGACTCAAAAGAACTGTTCGTGTCTAGGTAACTAAACACTGCTGCCTTCCAAAGGAGCCAGTCTGTGGGTAAATGCAGAGCTCTGATTGAGCTTGCCTCTTGGTCTGAGCATTGTTACCTGCTGGTTGTGTTTACCTGAGTTTTCTCTTCCAGACGCTGGATGGAGGCTTGAATGTTATCCAGCTGGAGACTGCAGTTGGTGCTGCTATTAAGAGTTTTGAGAACTCTCTGGGCATAAATGTACCCCGTAGTCGTTTTCTGCCTGTTAAGACCACGTCAGATCTCTTGCTTGTGATGTCTAATTTGTATAGCCTTAATGCTGGATCTCTAACCATGAGCGAGAAGCGAGAATTTCCAACAGTGCCTCTTGTAAAACTGGGAAGTTCTTTCACAAAGGTAAACTCCTGTAATTACACTTTGTTTTTCTCTCTTTGAATAAAAATACAGTCCATAGCAATAAATAAGTAGAAAGTGAGGTTTACTTTATCTACCTCTGCCCACCTGGGCACTCCCCCCACTTGTTAGGCCGTTAGAATACAGACTATTTAACACACGTGCTCAACATCATGCTGCTTTTGGGTGCTCCTTTGCCCTTCAGTTGAGGAAAAAGGGGGGGAGGGGGTGGTCAATTGGGTTGTGTGTGTTTTCTAGAGTTTGCCCAACTTTCTTGTGATGCTGCCATCACTGTTTCTCATAGTTATCACTGCCAGAAATGATGATACCACATCGCTTTCAAAGTAGCAACTCTTGTACTTGTCAGATGTAGATTCCAGAAAGATCCCTGAAATGAGTTTTCAGGAAGCTCTCACACTTGTCTTAATGCACAGATGGATTTAAAACTGCCTCTGTTCTTCCCTCTCTCAAAAAGGTTCAAGATTACTTGCGGAGGTTTGAAAGTATTCCAGATATGCTGGAGCTGGATCACCTTACAGTTTCAGGTGATGTTACATTTGGGAAGAATGTTTCATTAAAGGTGAGTGTGTAATTGGGATACTCTTGCAACAAATCTTAACAATAAATCTCTGCTCCTTAGGATGCTGCCTAAGTCAGTGTCTTTTTGCAGAGTCCATGAAAGTGCTTCTAGGAATTAGGTAACTGGCCTGAGGATTGCAGAGGCCAAGACTGAACAGCAACCCTTAGGAATGCGTGCAAGGTGTTATTGGTATAGCTGTGACTCTGTACAGTCCCAGGGAGAGCTGTGGTTTGTCTGTGAACCTTGAAAATACCACAGACGTAATGACTCTGTTCTAAAAAAATGCTTACATCTTTGTCCTATAGCTCTACAAGGCATATACCACCTCACCTCCAGTGGCTGTATGGCCACTGGCTGCTTCTCATCAGTTTGGCATTCTTGATTTATTAGTAAACACGGGGGCTAAGTTAATCACCTCTCAAATTCTTCCTTAGGATTTGGCCAGTCCTAGCAGAACATTGTCATGGTCCTTTAATGGTCTGGGCCAGTTTAGCTGCTGACACAGATTGGTGCAAGGTGGGGCTGCAACACCCAGCACTTGAACAGGCTTAGGCTGTTCCCAGCTCTTTTTGTGTATTTGCCTTAGAGCTGTAATGGGGAGCTGTGCCCTGCCATACAGGGAGAGGGGAGGTAACATTTTTTCCTTCTAAAAGCAAGCAGACATGATAAGAGCACTTACAGGAAGCCTGTATCTTCAAAGAAGACATCAGCTCTGCTTGTAAGAGGATAGTATCCAGTATGCTGGTAATTTACAGCATTTCCAATATTGCTTGTTTAAAACCTTTGTTGTGGCGAGGAAAAAAAAAAAAGTCTATGCAAGAAACAACACAACTAAATGCATCCAGGATCTGGATGTTACAACTGATGCCTAACTGGTCCTCCAGACAACACTACTCTGGTGCATTCTGAGCCAACAGGTAATATGACATCTCTAATCGCTTGTTTTCTCTGCTGTAAATCCAGGGAACAGTTATCATCATTGCAAATCATGGCGACAGAATTGACATCCCAGCTGGAGCTCTACTAGAGAACAAAATCGTATCTGGCAACCTCCGGATCCTGGACCACTGAGTCGGTGAAAGGGCACGGTCGGTTCTATAGACTGCTGTGCTAAACTGGCCTCGTAATGGAAGAACCTTTTAGGCATTAGACATATAAGTACACAGAGGGCCTATGCTTTGTCATCTTCACAGTACCCTGCAGTATTAATTGAAAATGAATTTCTCTTGCTTATCTTTTTTAAGCAGACACATAGCGCAATGGATGTGCGTAAGTAATGCTTCAGTCCTGAAAGAGAGTCTGTAACTCAGTTAATATAACCTTGAAGTGCAATACTGTTTGTCTTGCGGTAAGATGGACAGATCTTCTTTGATAAGAAGTTAAGAGGCTCGCCTCTAACATTTAGTAGTTTTGAATTGCTTGTAACTGCAGAAATACAGCTGTGAAGCAATACATGTGGGACAATGCAGTTAGCTACTCATGTGACTTTTTATGAAGTGGCAGGCACAGTTGAAAACCAAAAGTTTCACTACTGCTAAACAGGTTGTTAAAACCCCTGTATTTCATGTACTCACAATCATCCCAGCCTGTAGCCCTCTTTAACCCTCCCAAACTACAAGTGGGATGGCCCTATCCCAATTGTACATCAGGATACTGGGGTAAGGCTGTCAATACCTCCATTTCTGTATTGTGAGAGTGGGAATCGTTGCTGTTCCAAACTCACCCAAAGAATATAATACTTGAGAAAAAAAAAAAAGCCTCAGTATCATGTGTGATGTTTGCTTTTTCACATCCCATTTAAGACTGGATCTCCTGGTAATACCTTAATCCTTGATCTGCCCTCTTTTTCAATAAATGGATCATGTTGACTACACCCATGTTCATATTGTCACAGCCATGTATGTTAATTTATCTTCTCTTGAGTCATTTCTAAATTTGTACAGGAATTTAAATCCCTGTTCTGATCACTATTGATTTCTTAATGTTTCTCTTGTATTTACATGCAGACAACTTTATTTTATAAGCTTAGTATAACACTGGTATGTATCATTAAAGAAGTTGGTCTTTAAAAACAACTGTGATTTTAGAGCTTTATTTTGACTGACAGTTAACGACATCTGTTATGCAAACAGATAAGCATGCCTGCCTGAAAAAACCACTGCAGACCATTCCATCATACATAATCACAGGGTTAGGCACTCAGACTATGGTTAGGTAAAGAGGTGTGAGGTGAAGTACACAGGCACTTTTACTTAGTACTGGCAGCATCCAGTCTTAAAAGGTAGTATTAAAAACTCTTCAATAAATTAATTTCTGTTGCCCCTTCCTTAATGGTGCAACCTTTTATAAGCAGCCTATAAATTTTAAAATTCTTCCTCCCCTGTCTTCTGTGTCCTCCTGTCTTTTCAAGACACAAAGCCATGTGTGTAAACGGCAGAGCAATTGGCAAAGTCCTGAAGCACTCCCTATCCCTACACTCAGGGGCCATGCCATGTCCACAGTTGGGCAGCTGCAGGAAGCCATCCCCACAGCCGCCTTTTCACCACCCTCAGATGCCACCAGGAGCTGTTACGTTGTCACTGCTCTCGATCATTTCACAACTCTCTCCTGTAGACAATTACTTCAGTGAACTGACAATTTGTTAAAAAATCATACCTTCAGGGGGCAGTTTAGAGCCCAGCTGTGAGAAAGCCCCTGAAACAAGACTGCTCCCTAACAAATCTGAATCCTATATGCAAGCAGTCAAAAGACATTTATTTATATAAAGTTCTGTAAAAAAATAAATTTTCAAACAGCATAGTTTCATAGAGAAAAACATTTTCTACAGAGTTCCAACTGCAAGATTTTTGTACCATCATTAAATAAGGTGGGACACCATGTGAATTTCATTGCACTAGAAGAAATGCAAAGCATCTTTTTAATATAAAGATATACAGAGCATTCTAGACAACTACAGCTGTGTTACAGCTATGTGTTCTTTTGGATTTGGTCCAAAGAAACCTGAGTCTGTTTCCAGAGAGAATGAAAAAACATTGCACAGACAGCTGATCACTTGTTTCTTGCTGAAGGACACTGAAAAGATCGCTCCCTGCAGCTCACTCTGAGTCTAGCTTCCCCAACTATCAACAGTATCCTTTCTTGGACTCCGGTCTTCAGTATTCGTCTCACAGTCGTCACACTGCTTAGAAGAAAGTCAGTCTGTTGTCAGAGCCAAGTGACTGCTCCCAGTGGACTATCACCTCTTCTGCTCCCAAATTTCAGCCATGTTTAGGTCTAAGTTGTTAAGGCCTTTCAGAGCTTGAAGGTTTCCAGTGTAAAAAGCTACATCTGAAGTAACCAGTCTGCAGTGAAACACACAACAAGATTAGCAGCTGAACCTGTCACATCCACCCTGAGCATTTAGAAACAGCCAGGGCCTGTTTATGATGGCACACGATTACAATATACATTCAAATACTGTGCCTGGACTAGATATTTTAAGTATCAGTTCAAAACAACAGATTAGGCTTCTAAAACTTCCATTCTCTTGCTGTAATCCCAGGCTTATCTAGACTTCAACCCTTGATTCCACCTTAGAATTTATTGCAACATTGATTTCCGTATTTTATAAGGTTGATGTAAAAGCAACCGAAGAGCAATATTGTTCCTAACAGTTTATACAGAGTTAAAATCCCTCATACATTGTTGAAACATATCAGGATGACAGAAACACGATCATGGTGTTTCTAGTTAGAAAACAGCAAGATGTAGGCATAAAAGTTGTATTTTCATAGTAAAAAATTAACCAGGATTCACAGACCTGTATTTTTACTATTATTACAGAAACAAGCAGTTTAAAATAGGATGAAGGTCAGAAAAGCATGTTAAAAACTAGATCAATTAACGCTGCTGAAATAGCAGCAAGTGAAATCCAGTGTTCGGTGCTTCCCGTCTCAAAGGGCCACAACAATGCACTCCCAGAGAGCTGTGTTCTGAAGTAACCACTGCCAGGAAAGCAGCACTTGGGATGTTAGGGTTTCCAGCTGAGAGACCTGAGACCCTCCTGACAGCAGGGATTGACTGCTGGGAAATACACCATCAGTATGTCACCAGGAACACCTGCCCTGACCCTCCTGTCAAAAAGGGATCCCTTTGAGCCATCTAACCACAAGCAACAAACAGAAATGAGAGCAGTACAGTAATGACAAGCACAGTACAGCACACTGCTTTGGACCAGAAACCCAAGTGTGAAACACTCCGGGTGCTCTCATTTCAGCTGGGGCTGCAGTGACCTCACTCCTGTTCAGTAACACTGGTTGGCTTACAAATACCTTCCTAAGTACCAGCGGCACCTGGATGTTACCTTGCAAATACACCTCAAGTACAGAAAACCGTTTCAGATAAACTCTTCTGCAAAGTGCTAGGATGAACAAGCTTAAACAGGACAAGAAAGAATAAACTAGACAGGAACAAAACTCTTCTTCTTTCCAGCAACATTTGAAACATTTATAACCTTCTTTCTCTGGCTTCTTCAACTCAAAACAATCCTTTCTTGCACATGGGTAGGCTGACTGAATTTCATCCCTACCACACTGCAAATAAACAGTCCCAGGTCATGAAGAACAATTATAAAACCCACCATCCGTTTCAGGGGACAATCCAGCTTACAGCAGGATTCAGCCTGCAAGAGGCTGTACACTTTTTCTGGGAGGTGTGGGATGCCAGGCATAGCCAGCCACAGCCTCTCAGCACTGACCTGTTTTGGTGATTGAGGGTTGGGCTGGGGCAGGAAAGGGGAAAAGTTCTGTGAGCATCATCTGTTTCCAATCTAGTTCTGCTGTAAACACAGTTCCTGTATGGAAGCTGCCCATCACACAGATGAAATACCAAATTTTCCTATTTTTACTTTGCTAGCGCCATGAGTCATCATCCATGTTTCAAAACGGCTACATGAATCACGTAATTCTTGCGAATTAAACTGCAGCTACTACTGTCACACAAAAGGAGAAAAAGCAATCCACAACTCAGGAAACCTATAGCAGGTTTCCAGTAGGACAGTGCCCAGCTTCCAGTCTATTACTGAGCTGATTACATTCCTAGTTACTATGGAAAGGCACAAGTCATGTCCTTCACTGTAAGAAGCCTCCAAATGGGACACACTAAATCAGGGAGCGTGGGTGCATTTTGCAATCACAACTTTCTGCATAAGACATAGCCTGCTTATTTCAATTAAGTAGTAAAAAACCACTGTCTGAACATACCCATTCAGAGGTCCTCCATCATTGACTACGTTTAAGTGAGCCAGCTGCCTCTTCAAGTGAAGTTTGTAGCTTGCATTAATTCGTAAAAACAACATCTAGAAGAAACCACAGAACCAGAGTAAGGAACCATCCCCTTGCATCACTGCAAGAAAAGGAAATACATTGCAAACACCCTAAATCACTGACTTTCACTTTTGGTTTTGAAATTCACGTGATTTCTCCCTTCTGCCAGTCCTTCAGCCTCCTAGTCTTTCTGGCCATATACAATATATACCATGCAGGACAGTATACACCCTCACTTATTTACGTGTTGAACTTTGAGGGCATGTTCTTTGAAGCATGAATTTTTCTTCCCTGTTGTCTGAAGCATCTAGCAATTTGTATTAAGGCTAGAAGATAACAAATCGCTTTCCTGTACTGTAACCACTTAAAAGTCTCTTTTTCCAATAGAAAGTGGGGAAAAAGAGTTTGAAGAGACCATTTAATTTAGTGTTAAAGAGAAACTACAACTTGCTGTATTCAGTGACTGGATCGGTCCTTCCTGTCCTTAGATTTACAACTCTGCAGTAGCAATAACTGCAGCAAAATACTGAAAAAGCACATCTGCTACCATCTGGCTGCAAAATACATTTAGGAACCTTCAGAAGCCACCAAGTTTGAGCAGCGCTACAGAAGAATTCTCTAAAGGGGCTGTACTTGAGCCCCTGAAGTATTGCCATTTATGTAGAAACTCAGCACTAATTCCTGAATTGAAGATCCACCTCTCTAGACATTAAAATGCAGCTCAAAACACTGCAATCAGCCAATTCTTTTTGTGTGTCTCATCATTCTCCCTGCACTTCTAAACACTTCAGTTCAGATGGAGCTGTCTGCATGACTGCTGCCAACCCCTTTAATGCGTGGGTTTCACAAAGATTCAAAAAGAGTATTTTTCCCCCCTAGATAAAGCAGCAGTCTCTCTTGCTACTGAATTCCTGTGCATTTGCAAGGGAGGTGTTACATGAATCACAAAAATAGCACTCACCTGAGTTTGCTCCTCAGGAAGGAGATTGTATATAGCTTCGTGCATCTTTGCCATTTGCTTGCAGATACTCCTGAAGCATACTGAAGGAACGGGAGCTTTCACTTCATACTGGAAATAAAAACACAACCTTTCTGCCACCTTAAAACAGTTCATAGAGAATTTCCAACAGCCATCTGAAGCCCTGCATTGCTAATGACATCAGAGATAAAAGTTTATTTAGCATATCACAGATTTAAACAGTCGCTGAGCATGACCTGATTGAGCCAAGGACTCCCATCATACAACCTTTTAGCACTTCTTGCTTTGTAAGCAGAGTAACATTCAAAGCAGTACGAAATCTGAGGATTTCCCAACTTCATCTATTTGTCTTTGTTAGTCTGGATTACTCCTCTTTGCTCATTACTTTCTGTTGGTTTCCATTACCCTACGAGTCACAGATGCAGAGAGAATAACCACTGTGCCAGCTACACAGATGCATGCTATGTGCTCTGCTCACTGGCCCTCTCCCGCAGATCCATATGAGTCAATGACAGAATATGCCCCTCAAGTACCTCATGAGAGAAAACTGCTTCTCAAAGATCATATACATCCACACTTCTGAAGAAACAAGGAAAAAAATGGAAAATCCTGAAAACTCAATATTGGCCAAAAAATCCCCCCAAAAGACAAAACCACACAAAAACACTGCAGAAATACCTTGGAAAACAAAGTAGAAAATGCCCCTTCTCTCAGTAACTGAGATCCAAGAAACAAGACACTGGAGACCACCAGATGACAAGAGATTTGCTAAAGCGGGAACAAAATCCTCACATCCCCACCCTGGATAGGGAAGACCTGTATGCGATTTCAGAAGCACTTTGACGAACTGTCCCAGGAACAGTGAAGTCCTTCAATTCCTGGTGGAGAGTTTATACAAGCACAGGCCTGGGTCAAACACTGGTGGGTCACCTTTGGCAGGGTGATACTTCCCCACAGACCCTTGCACAATTCAGTGGAAGAGCTGAATCATTATAAGTAAATGATTAACAACCACATGGGAGCAGATGCCCGAGTTGTGAAAGAGAACAAAGCTTGCCTGGGTATAAGAGGAAAAAAAGAAACGGGGGTTTGTGAGAAAGTCTTCATGGACAAGCCAAACCAATGACCTAAGTTTAACAGGAAACGTATCAGAAAAATGCTGCTTACTGCTCCAGAAGGCCTGCTCCCTGCGTGGGACAACCACACAGTGTACAGGATTGTGCCTCAAGGCGAGAGTTAGGCAACAAATGATTTACAATTTACTGGTACGCTGTAAAGACAAAGGGAATTGGCAAGCTGCAGTGATGGCTCTTGCATGACTACAGACAAATCAAACTCCAACGTGACGGAGGAAAAGCAACAGCACCAGAAAGAAACATGAGCTCCAGCCCTGCAAGTTGCTGGCCATTTTTATCTCCAGCTAAGGTCAACAGCATGTAATACCACGAGGGAATCAGACAAAAAAAATATACTGCTCTTCTGTCCAAACAGTCACAAGACAGCAAGCTCCAAAAGCCAAGAACTCACACCGGATTTTTTCCATGACTATTTATCCCTTTTTAAAAACCTATGCCTTTTTCACTGCTTAATTATAGCTGTTAAATACCCCTGCTCCTGTTTTATCTCCCTGCCAATGTCAATGGGCAGATGCTGGGAACTGTCCGTGCTGTGGTGGATCACTTCGCTGAACGCACAGCCTCATCGCAGCAGCACTCTGTGAAGAGAGCTCCTGTCCCACAGAGCTCTCAGAGGGAAGCAGAGCCTGGAAACACAGAAGTCACTTGCCCACATTAACTCGAGTGCCAGGTCAATGTCCCATCTACTGGACCAAAGCACTTGTCTCCTACAAAGCAGCCTTCTGAACTGTGCAGTGTTTGATTTTAAAGTGTGCTGGACAGTACTGCTGTGAAACTCGCTTGCTTATTCATTCCGATTTACACACTTGAAAGCAGGTGACCACTTTACCCACAAGGCACTGAAATATTTAGACTCTCACATAAACATCTAAAACAAAGAACATACTGACATGGTTGTGCTGACATGCCCATTTGCAAATTTCCTGGGTTTATGTTCTTCACAGCCTTCAGTGCCAAGATTTCATTATGTCAGGAACAAGATAAGCCAAATAATGGGGTATGTTAGGAATGGAGGCAAATGAACACATGGCCTCCTTTTCTCCTGTATTCTGTGGGTTCATGTGAGCCAGGCACTCTCGCTCAAGCCTTTAAGAGCTGTAAAGGATGGGAACAGTCTCAGTTTGTATCGTGTGCCAGCTCACAAGAGAAGAATGGTCTGTAAAGATGAGACAACAGTAAGGGATGGACACTTACTAGCTACTACCAAGAACATGAACTGTGTTACTGGTTTGTGGTGGGCTAACTTGTTTAGTATCAATAATCTAAATTCTTGCATTTGTCTTTTATTTTCAAGAAATGAGAGGTAAAGTGACCAAAAGGCCATGTTATTTCATATAACAGGTATTTTTACCTGAAGGAAACACACAGAAAAGCAGCAGCATTTGGATCTTTAGAAAAGAGTATAAACATGTTTTAAAAACTGTAAATGCAACAGAGGGTGGCAAATCCTAATTTAAATGCTTTGCTTTTTTTGGTGCTTTTTTGTTGCTGTTGTTTTCGTTTGTTTGGTTCCCCCCCCCAAGCTTAGGTAACACTATCTGATAGCCCAAGGAAACAGATGAAAAGAAAAAGCACAAAATAAAATAAACAATAAAATAACAGAAACAGCAAGGAAGACAGGAATGCTGCCTGTTGCAAGTGACTCGCTGCAGCCCCCATCAGCATGTCCCCAGCCCAGGCTCCACCAGGGAAATACTGTGCTTCTCGTGAGCTCCTACAAGGAAGAGATTGCCCCAGGCCAATCAATCAAATCAGCCAGTAAAGAATTATTTTTTTTTCTCTCATGAAACTGCTGCTTTTCTTTTTCCTTTTTCTTAAGAGTATAAGATCCACAACAAAACACTACGCTTTAAAAGCTATCAGACCTGCAGGCTCACAAGATCTCATCCTGGGGAAGTCTCTCTCAGTGTATTCTGCCTCCAAATAAGTCAGAGTGAGTAGATCCAGCCAGGACCAACCTGTTCCACTGACAAGCATTGAAAACCCAAAAACCACTAAAACATGGGACAGCTATTAACACTGCTACACAGCAGGACCTGCTAAGCACAGACCTCTAGTGCCCAGGGCTGCAGCCCAAGAGATTGGCTGGTCCAAAACCTTCCTCCTCAGCAGTTTTTTTGCTGTTTCCTCAGCTGCAGGAAATTACACGCTCCCCATGTCCGAAGAGGCACCATTGGGAAGAGCAGGAAATGTGAACCAGCTCAGCCTGACTGCAGACAAGAGCTGTCAGTGGATAAAACTGCTGAGGGTAGGAGAGCACTTCAGCTTCTAAACACCGGAGCATGTGCACCAGTCAAAGCATTTCTGTTACTGCTGAAGGAATCAGCGAACAGTTTTTTTTGTGGGGGTGAAGGCGTACGACACCCAGGTGGCAAATGTTAAGATGAAAGACATTCATGAGCACAGCACAGAGCGTTGTGTTTATACAGCTTAAAGAAGTTCAAACAATTCCTGATTAGGAAAGTTTAAGACTCCATTTGAAACATCTAGACTGTATACAATGAGACCTCCAATTTCAATTTAGAGAGTGTATAATTATTTCCATAAATCATTACCTCGGATAACAGTCTGTCGAATACGCCATCCATTATGGCAACAAGCTTTGCTGAAATTTCAGCTATGTGGTCGTGATAATCCTGTAATGGAAGAAAGCAGGTTTTATTTACTATCTAATGGCATTCACATTCTTCAGAGTGCAGTTGAAAAGCAGAACTTTGTGTTTAATTAGGAAATGCCAAAAGAATTACCTTTGTTATGTGGTCAAAATGCCTGAGCATGCTAAACTGCTTCGGCTGCAGTCGAGCTTCAAAATGAGCCCTGATAATAGGAATGTAGTGTACGATTAGCTGTAGGCAACGTGAAGAAAGGGCTGTAAATTCAGAAATGAGAGAGAGAGAGAGAGAGAAAGAAATAATTATTACACAGGAAGGGTAATTTTGTATAGACTGTATCTCCTTTCAAAGAAATAACTGATCTGACACAGCTTAATACGTGTTAATTAAAAAGGGGGGGGAGGTAAGCATTTGTCTCCACTGGGAAACCTCACTCAGTAAACAGGCCAGACTGGTACCTGGCTATTCACATCCAGCTTCTGTAGGATATGGGATAAGGGACCGATTTTACAAGAGGCTTTAAGTGTCTGCTTGACATTTTGAGCCCTGAGCACAAGCAGACAGAGAGATCTCAAAAGACCTGACTCATCAGCTACCTAACCTTGACAGCCACATTCTCAAGGCATCAATATTTCTTCTGCAGAAGGTGTACATAAACATCCTGCCCTGCTAGTGTTGAGCTGCCCAGAGTCTGCTCCTGCCAGCAATGGCAGCAGCATTCCCAAAACCGAGCTTCTCATGTGTCCAACATGGCCTGAGCCAGCAGCAGGACACACAGTAGTGCCAGAGTGGTCACCACACTGGCTCCTTCTGGAGCAAAGACCTGATCCAGCTTTTATCTGCTCACTTATGTTTGCTCCTGTGGCCCTTTGAGGGGAAGCCTCTCAACCCATCCTCCTCGAGCTATTTCCTTTTAAAAAAGGGAGTGCAGACAGGTAATCAGGACACCCTGAAATATGGGAACTGCAAGTTCAAACACCTACTTCCACCCATCAACCAAAGTCTCTTCACTTCAAGAGACAGTTTAATACCAGAGGTCTTGAGCAGCATGTCAGACTTGTCTGTAGCATGGAATTGGGCATCTAGTTTGCCCAAGATTTTCAGAGCAGCTAGAGCAGTCCATGCAGGTAGCTTGGGGCTAGAAATTCACCTAAATAGCTACAAACTGAAACGAGAAACTAAAGCCTGAATCATAGTTTCAATTCAGCACACAGACTCAGAGCCCTAAGTTACCTAATTACACTGGGACACTCAGCCACGTAAAGACACTTGATTAGGAGCCGCCCACAGAAATAATTTCGCGCATTACCAACACACGGTTATAATCCGCAGGAGCTGTGTGTAGACACAGCGTTACAGAATACAGCACCACAGGGCAGACAGGACAGCACAGCTCAGCAGAATGCATGGGGAGACAGGGGTCTGGCTGCATTCTTCTCTACCTGTGTACCTCCAATCTCAAGACCTGAACACCAAACAGCTCCCAGCATGCCAAAATCATTGCTGAAAAAGTAATTACACCTTAGTTCGCATGGGAAAACTTGCTAGCCTGTATATTTGTTTTTAAGTTTCCTTTATGTAACACAGTGAAATTTCACATTTAAAGTGATCCACTAGACAGCAAAGGAATTTGGTGGATTTTAGCACACTCCTTAATCAGACAAATCACCAGCTTTCATACATGTTTTACCCTCTAATCAGCAAGATCTTATCACCCTCTGTGCTCCCATCACGGCACCACAACACAAACATGGCTTACCATAAGTATATAGGGGTTTTTTGTGTTTGGATTTTTTTTAACAGGCAGGAGAACAAGCTTTGACATTTTAAATACTGAAATCCATACCTAGGTTACTTGTAGTGATTGTTTTCAAACCAACAACTTGTAATGCACCAGCTCCAAGCACTAGTTGGCAACTTCTAGAGTTGAAATACTGTGATAAAAGAAAAGACAGTGAGAATTTATGCTGACTCTTCAACAATTACACATAACCACAGTTTAGAAATACCATCAATAAAATCCTGCACAATTAGACAGATTATTACAAAATAAATGAATGCTCATACCAGTGCTTCACATACTCCTTGCTAAAGAGGAGGCCGTAACTGTTACCTAGTAAGACAAAAGGAACTTGCTGCTTCACCACTCTCAGTAGTCACTGGCCTGTAGTATTTGTTTGACTCAGCTTATGCTAAAGCACTCAAGGCAGTGTTTCAGCAGAGGGAAACCGAAATACTGGTAATAAAAACAGTTAGGTGCTCAGTGATTTCAATTCAGGGACTAATTTCTTCTTCTCTCTGAGACCTTTGGGTGAGGCCTCTGTTAATGTGAAAGTATAGTAAGCAGCAAGTCAGGCTTGTTGCAGACTGGCTATGTTCAGTCTTACTTTGAAAGCTGTACACAAGAATGGCTTTATACTGTAAATCTATAAAACTTACTTCTCAATCCTTGGATGGAGTGAAGCATAAGGATATCACTAGTTTTGCTAAGTAGAGTAGACAAGTGTAATATCAGAATGTAAAAATATCAAAAGAACAAGTTTCTGCTCTGGCTTTAGACATTTCCCACTGCTGATGTTAAAGGAAACTTCAAAGCAGTGAAACTCACTGCTGCTAAGTGGCTGAATCTGTGTTTGTAACACTATAAAATACTGAGATCAAGAAATGATGCACAGATGTTAAGCCATGTCAAAAACCAGTTCTGTAAGAATTCCAGGTACAGTGGACAACTCAAGACTTGATAACTTCTTTTCTCCTGGAACTAAGGAAGATCTTTAAATGCCCTCAGGCCAGACAGGTCTCTGGGCAGTAAGACAGTTCCTATTAGCATATTCCATCTTATTTTGGAATTCTGCTCCACCACCCAGCTTGACGCACCAGGTATTCTAGACTGGTGTGGGTGATGCAGTAGAGACGGAGAAGCCATTGCTGACGTCCCTGACAGAAGTCCCAGGGCTCAGGTTTGAACAGAACTGTCCTGATGACACTGGGGTGGAAATTGGGAGGCAAAACCTACTGAAAGCTGACACTTTCTCTTACACATTAAGAAAGATGTGCAAGCAGTTGTGACAAGGTTGCCCTGCAGCTTACGTCTGCAACACAGGATTCCCCTCACATAGAGATCCTTTATGTTGGGGTCACAATGCTGTTTCACAGATCCTGCTTTACAGTAACGCAAGAACAAACCCAAAAATTCAATTATCCTTGAGTAAAAACAAGAAACTATTTTTCTGGCTATTGCCTGGAGTCAGTCACAAAACTCAGGACCAGAGAGGATATGCTGTGAACATCACACATCTGCTCTGGGCTGCAAAAGTGGTGCATCCAGGACTGGAAAAGCAACACAGATGCAGTGCCACAACTGAACCTGAGCCACGTGTGGCCCTTGATCCGAGAGAGGCATAACCTACTCTGCTCTGAGACTGTCTAACATTCACTTCATACCCTCCTCCTCCTGAAAAGCAAGACCCTTTCTTATGCCTCCTGGTGGACTTTGGAAGTAGATTCACCAACCCAAAGACTTGTATCCAACACAGCCTAAGCTTATCAGAGGTTAACACCAACTTATAGACTGCATGGCAGACCATTAAAAACATGCTCTATAAAGGATGACAGACTCTCCCCCTGCCTTCTGTAGATATTACTGTTACTGGATGGCCTGTCGCAGACAAAGCAGCAAGGAAGTAGCATGCCTGGAACATCGAAAGAGCAATATCCCCTCCTTGTGACTGCTCGAAGGAAAGCACTTCTGCGTTCCAGCACCATGGCTGCCAGCCTTCTCTCTGCACCAGCTAAACAACTCCAGTAATTATGACTGGTTTTGTTCACACACAGGTGTTATTGCCCTCTGATTGCAGCCAAAATACAAGATGGCCTGGAATTTCATTACCTGGGAACACTTTGCGGCTTCCATCACAATAATGAGCAGCTCTCACTACCTTCAAAATCTGCTAGCTCTGACAGCTGCCAAACAAAAAGTGTAGTAACTTGCAAGGACACCCTGAGTAGCTCATATTTTGTTCAAAGTGTAACAAATGAGCTTCTGTTTTTGCTAGCTGCTCTTGTTATCTCTCCAGTTGATGGCACCCTCACTGCCAGATAGGAAATACAATAATTAAACTGCACATGATGTTTGAGTATCAAGGAATGAAGCACAAATGACAGAGCTAGAACAAGATACGGTAGGGAGAAGTAACACAGAGATGCAAATCTGGCCAAGTTTGAGGCATCTGCTGCTATTCTGTCTCCCTGCAAAAAGGTGCTGCAAGACTTGAGTGAAGCAGCAGCTGGAGAATGACAGGTAAAGAGGGGCATCCTCAGTCCCAAACTGATTCACTTGAGATAGTGCTTTCAAAAGGAAAGGCTTGTGGATGAATCTGAGTGATGACTACAGGGAAGAGTGTTCCTACATCTGATTATTCAGATAAGAACTACCAACAGGAAGATTATTTAAAGGTGAATCTCCTAGGATGTGCTTCCTCTCCCCGATTCCCCACCTCACAGAAAATAAACTTTCAGAAAGTAGAATCTGTTTGTTTTTTAACAATTATGCTCAATTCAGAACTCCAATGCCTGACATAACCTTTGTGAGCAAAGACATAAGTGAAAAACCTGAAATAAATTAACTGTTAGGTTTTGGAGTAAAAAAAAATAAAATTATATATATATAAAGACAGTTTTAAGGTGCATTCACATGCTCCTTTTATTATTGTTTACTTACATTACCTTGCAGTATATGTGCTTTACCTTTCCTCTTGTCTAGTGAGAAATGACAACAGGTCCTTGTTTTTCATCATCTCCATTTTACAGCAGCAGCTTCATCTGATACTATTTTTCATGCTTCAACTGACTATACCTCTACTGAATTATAAAAACTAAGAGACTCGTTTCCTTCCTGAATACAGATACATCTCTGTACCATTTGTGATCAAACTGCTTTTTCTTCAGTAGCATCAATCTTACAGCTAGCCTGAAGGACAGACAGCTGTGACACACTCTACTAGAGGGGATTTCCAATATTGCAGGTGAACAAGAGGAAAGAGAGCCTTCCCAAAGTTAATTCACACAATGAATTGCAGCTTTAATGCCCTTAGCTCAAAAGGCTACCTTATGGCACAGTAACAAACAATCATTTCTAGACAATGTATATAATTTATATGAAGCCATAAAAGCACGTGAAGCATTACAGAGACTAAAACACACTCTCTGCCCTGAATACTCCTGATTAGGACAGATGGTGCGGCTGGAGTCGTACCTTCAGTAAATCAGACAGGCGGGTAAGCATGTCAGTGGTGATGGAAGGAGTGTTATCCACACACTGGCAGTACTCAAGGATTATTCTTATTAACAGCAATACTGTCCTGCAAGAGAGGAAACAGCCAAATATGTCATCTCAGTGCACAGAAAATGTTGAAAAAAATCAAACACAGGCCAGTCATGTTTATAGAAAGCTACCTAATGCTAGATTATAGCTAACTGACCTGAAGTAAAACATAAAAGAAGATATACATAAAGATGGTTATAAAGAATACCCATTCCACAGGGTGGCACATATGAAAGAAAATCTCAAAGGTTCACTGGTATAACATTTTAATCTTCAAAAAAGGCTACTGTGGAACTAGAAGATTCCATGTAGATGTTGGCAAGGGACATGAAAAAAAAATAAATTCTTATTTTCCTTTCTTGTACTACTGTATCAATCTCACAACTTTGAGCCAGTATAGAAATCCCCAGAATCTAGACAACCTGCACCACTGAAAAGGATATAATGAACATTGATGAGTCACATCAAATATTCAACGATGGTCAACACCTGTAGTTTCCCTTGGATTCAGCAGGCACTGGAGTATTTGGGAGCTAATGAACAGAAGTAGGAAGGCTCCACAAAGAGCACCTATGCTCCTTTACATTCAAATGCACAAGAAGGCAGGAAAACTAAGGCCAGATCACATGTTCAGGGTAGAAATTCTAACATTTCAGAAAGTTAAATCTCTTTCTTCCCTTAGGGAGCAGAGTGAGAAAGATGATGAACAATCAACTTAAAACAAACACCTGGAGAATTTTGGAGGAACATCTAGGCTTTTTTTGAATACATTTTATTTGATTAAATACAATGAAACTCTACGTAGAGGTGTGTAGAACTGAAACAAATATTTGCACCAACATGAAGCCAACAATTGCTTCACAGACCTAAATATAACAAGCTTCAAACAAGCTATCAAACACATCATGTATTAAGTAAGTTCTACTCCTTTAAGCATGTTCAAATGCTTCTACTTGACCTGAAATGCTCTTTTGCAGCGATATCAGTTGGCTGGCACAGAAGCTCTGAGACATCAGCTTCTGTTTGTAATTGAACAATGACACATCATCATGAAGCAACTCATAAAACGACAGCTGGTCAAAAGCATTATGTAAATCAGAACTTTTAAGTTTTGGGTAAATTGATGTTAGGTCTCTGGGGAATGAGATCTCCAGGTTTTACTCCCTTCCTCAAAAACACACTCATGTGATAGTTAATACTTAAGCCTTGCAGTCTTTGGAAACATAGCATGTTTTTAAATGAAAGAAGTATGTATTAAAGTGTCTTTGATATAACCAGCTTTAAGAAACTACTTTTCAATCCAAAGCAATCAGGATAGCAAGAAATGGTGTATGCAGCTTTCGAGATAGCCCATATCTTATTTCTTATTCTGAATAAGATAAGCAGTCATTCAGTCATGGATTCATGTATTTCGCCAGAGATAACCTATACTGCAAGAAATAACAACAGTGTGCTAAGACGACAAACCTGTATTTTCATGACTATGTGTTCTCATGGAATAATTAGAAAAAACCATATTCAAATGAAACCATAGATTTCAGCCTAATCATTAAAAGAAGAGCGAGCTTTTTAGTGTACAGAAGAGCTTGTAATGTTTTATAACTGTTTGGGAACTAAAGAGAAACTAGTCCGTGGGAAGAGAAGGGTTTTTTAAAATTTAAATAAGACTGCTAAAGCTGTTAGTATTCATCACAGTTCTACACAAAAGTTCTTGCCAACTAAGCCACTGCTAATAGAAAAGAGTGCATCTTACCCAACTGTTGCATATTTTTGTCCTTCAACAATAAGGAAATCAGCTGGCTTTCTTTCTTCAGTAGCTAGACGTTTTAGCAAGAAAAGAAAAAGGATTAGTTGAACTGAAAACAAGCACCAAAAAAACACTAGTTTCTAAAGATTTAGTGTGCACTTGCTAAGGCCTGGAAAAAAGCCACAGTCAATTTTTGGAGCACTGCTCTCTTTTACAATATTTATTATATAGTTGGTCACTCATCATAGTTATTCTGACCCAAAGTCACTTTGTTATCTGCTAGGATTTTAGATTAAAAATCCCCTCAAGTCCCACAGTCATTATGGACTTAGAAACTTCAAATACAGCAGGTTACAAGTAGAAAATCAGGAAAAAATCACCAGGTTTTCTACTATGCATTCTCAAATAATTTGTTGTATAGATTAATAATTTAGCTTCAAACCATTTCTTCCTCAGACTTCACTGTAGAAGCTCTTACTGATGCAGTTTTTCATGCTAAAGTTGATGACACTGGTTTCCTGCTTTTTTGAAGGAAGCTGCAAGAGCTTATTTTAAGAGCAATGGTCAATGAGCATATTTTGGTGTCGTGTTCCGTAATTAGAGTGATTATTGCCTAATAAGCCCTCTGCCTCTGCGATATTCCTTTCGGGGGATTCAGGGTTTCTCTACCATGACATTATTTTATGGTAAGGTATTTTCTTCCTTCTCTGTTGCCATTTTCTTTCCCCTTTATGTATGATTTCTTCCTGTTCTAGCTGTTTTCACACATTCATCATTGCAATACTGGATGAGAGTCCTCACAAGGTAAGAATGCATTATGCACTCCCATTTTGCACACGGGGAAATAGGGCAAGAGGAGAAAAAAGTGACTTCTCTGAGGTCAAATGAGGTTTCTGTGCCAAGGTAAATAATTGAATGTACACGAGTTTTCACTTCCATGAGCAGCCACATAACACGCTGCCTTTCATTTGAACAACTTGGGAAGGAGCGAGCTCTGTTTAACACACACATGCTCCTCAGTCCCTTGCAACACTTGAGTGGTATGTACTGAGGAAAGACTGAATTTGTGCAAACTGTAAGCCTCTACACTGGGAATATACTTGTATAAAAAGCAGCTCCCTCCCTGTGCTAACACTTAAATGGCTTAAAAAAAAATAAAAAGTCTCTTAAGGTCAACACAAGAACTTTCAACAGCAGTAACAGGGGAAAAAAAGTATCATTTTTTTTTCTGATCCCTACAGAAGACAGCAAGCAAACACAGATCAAGAGTGACATTGGAATACATCCATCAACATTCAACAGCAGCATTTGCCGATAATAAATTCAGATAACAGTAAGACTGCAAGATACGTACCTGCTGGTTTTTTTTCAGGGAGTGAAATTCTGCCATCTGACACAGAATCTACAAGATCCTGAAACTCAGCAGTAACTTCAGCTTGCTTCCAGCGCTCATTGTCCAAAAGTAGGCTAGTTATAGACACAAAAGAGAGGAGGCTGAGAAAATGAAATGCCTTGTCTTGATGCTCTTCCTGCCTGTAATACTGTGGAATAAAAACTACAGCAACTTTAAAAAAGCCAGTGGCACAAAATATTATGTTATTAATCTTCATTAGAAAGAGGTGTCCAACAATTGGCAGTAGCAAAACAGAAAAACCACTATGTTGGCCTAGAGATCTCACAACTTATTCATTCAATTTATCATACAGGACAAAAGACTACACTAGGCAATAAAGATCCTTATGAGATCACTGCTGCTGAAGTAATGTGTAAATACTGGAATTTTAAGAGCTTTTGATGGATGAGAGCAAAGTCTTCATGTACATTAGAGGGAAGGTTGTTCCCAGTTTGGTTTTCAGTTTGTTTGCTTATTTAATTGTTTTTGTTGGAGGTTTTTGGGTTGGTTTTTTTTCCCTTTGTTTTGTGTTTGGTTTTGTTTGGGTTTGTTTTTTAAAAAACAGTTGGAATTGAATTATCCTGAAGTTACTTAACCCCTGAGATAAAGCAATCCTGCTCTTCAATAGCTACTTCCTGTAGCTATTACTGTCCTTATTTAGGTAACTGTAAAACTATCCAATTTGAAGAAATTAAGTTATGAAAACAATGAAAGTCTAAATCAATTGAAAATAATTGGGTTTTAATAGTTTTTTCAACCCCTGCACAACTGGCTTACTGGTGTTCTAGGCAACAAAATCCTGTGTTTGCCTGGCATACAATTGATAAAATTATTCATGTAAGACCACAGAGATCTTCTACCCAGAGATACCTTAGTTTTGTCTTCCGCTCCTCATGGAATCTATTCACAAATCTATTGGCTTGACTCTGAAGTGCTCCACGCAAGGACATACTTTTCCTACCACAGATCTGCTCAGTGTCCGAGATAAAGCCTCCCATCAAACGAGAAAGAGCAACAAACTCATTGGAATTCAGCTTGTCTAGGAATCCATCCTATATGCAATGAAAATCATTGTAAGGAGACAAAACACCACAAAAATTCAGATATATAAAGAAATAACTAGTCAGCATGCCTGACGACTACTAGTATTTCAAGAGGCACATTATTTAAACCTACATAGGGCAGAGAAGGCAGATTGCAGTGCAGGCAGCTACCCCGTCATAGATACACATTCTCTGCATGGAGATTCAAAGACAGCAAGTTAGAATATCAAAAAAGGGAAAAAAAAAAAAAAGGAGAGGAAACCCAAACTACAATGACATGATATGTTAATGCTTGTGTGCTCTGAGCATCAACATCAAGTGCTGCGGCAGCAGGAACAGCTACTTAATTTCAATTGAGAATGCCATTTCAGAACTTTCACTCATTAAACCAGTAACCTGGGAGTAAGTTCTCATTAAGGATGAGACACCAAGAGCAGTTTGACCCAAGCTGCTTACCTTTGCTCTTGCCATTAAGAACTTGACTGAACGATCGTGGCAGATATCAGAGGCACTATAAAGTAACTCTTGAATATTGTTTGCCAGCCTGATCAGTTCCAGGTCAGTCAACTTCATGTCATCACTGATCCTAGAAATGACAGAACTAGTTGGTTGAGCATCAGTTAGAAAAGAAAAAAACCCCACAGTATTTCTGCTCACATGATGGAGGAGGAAAGAGCCTTGCAGCAACTGTCAAATGCAGACAGTTAATCACCAAAGTCACTCTGTACAGATGGGATCTTCTAAGCTTCTGTCAATGTCACATCAGTGCATGTAACAAGGAACTGCACCACTGCATATCCTTGTATTTTTTATTTAAATACACATTCTAATAGCTTTTAATGGTCTAAGACAAAACACAATATAGCCATTACTAATAAAATAAATATTATTAACATTTGTTGAGCTAAAATTTACCCAGCTCCTGTAACACTTGAGCATCACAAGTATATCACAGATAAAACACAACATTTTTCTTTGAAGGCAAGTGTAAAGGCTAAGATAGATAATGAGCACTTCCCACCACCTTAATTTATAGGCTGTCATTCTACTAGCTCTTTAGACATTGTTGTAACTGTGTAATTTTCTTAGCCTGCTCCAAACGCAGAGCGGAGGTGCAAAGAAAACCAGAAGAGGGATGAGCCAAGTTCATTTTAGAACAAAGTTATGCAACCAACCTCTGGAACAACCTTATTGCTCAATAGCTGGGTGGTATATTTTTAGCAAACTTGGTAAAGTGCTCCAGACTAGTTTGGATCCAACCCCCTTCTCCTTCCTTATTCCTCACTGTAACCTCCTGGACTTCCTGTCACACTCCATTTCTCTTTCAGTGTACAATGTATGTTTGGACACACAGAGGCCTGAATTTGTTTAATGCACAGCATATCTATTTTACATCTATCTCCTTCAGTCAGCATTGTGATTGGAGGTGGAAGGTCTCTATCAAAACTAGCAAACTCTATCAAAACAGTTGTTTAAACACACAAGTATAGACACTTGAGGACCAATCAGCTAGAGTGAGCAGGCCACTTGCTATCTTCCATCTTTCAGCAGGGTAACAAGTGTTATTTCAATACTGCTTCATAAAACTCTGTATCCAGACATGCTGGCTTTTGAAGTGGCTCATGCCTGAGTCCCACACACAGTACACCTGGTTCTTTTAGAAAAGTAGCTCTGACTTCTAGCCATAAATAAGGTATGAATAAAAGGCTGCCAAAAAGGTTACAACTCTGCAGTCTGGGGCACCACAGAGCAGCACGGCCTATGCTACCAAAGCAGTGAAATGGACTCAACCAAACAAGTCACAGAGTTGACAGTGGACAGCAGATCTTTCTCTAGAATTTATCAAGGTGTATTCCCTGAAGCCAGCTTAAAACAAACCAAAAACAAAACAAAAAAAGCACAGAAAAAACAGCCATTACAGAATCACAGAATCGCTCGGTTGGAAAAGACCTCTGAGATCATCATGTCCAACCGTTTCCATCTACCCACTAAACCATATCCTTACGTACCTCATCCAGGGATGATGACTCCACCACCTCCCTGGGCAGCCTGTTCCAGCTTCTGACAACCCTCTCAGTAAAGAACTTCCTCCTTATCTCTAACCTGAACCTCCCTTGGAACAGCTTGGTGCCATTTCCCCTTGTTCTGTCCTCCGTCACCTGGGAGAAGAGACCAGCACCCACCTCTCTACAACCTCCCTTGAGGTAGTTGTAGGTGGTGATGAGGTCTCCCCTCAGCCTTCTCTTCTCCAGGCTAAACAACTCCAGTTCCCTCAGCCGCTCCTCATAAGGCTTGTTCTCCAGATCCCTCACCATCCTTGTGGCTCTTCTCCGAACATGCTCCAGAATCTCAACATCCTTCTTATAGACAGGGAACAGAGATGTCTCTGCCAGCAAAACGCATGACAAATGATGTGTCTTTCATGTAGGCTAGACTTGCATCTTCCCTGCTCTCCACACAAGCAGCCTCTCCAGAACAGACTAAGGGGCCTTTTTCTGTAAGAAGTGTCATAATCAGTTCCCATACCACTACACACAGAGGTGAAAACAATGCAAACAAAAAAAAGGTGAGCTGCGGACAATGCTGCCTGATGGCAGTCTCTAGGGGTGATGATAGAGAGCCATTCTATTTCACTTGCCTAGAAAAGCACATTCCCCCAATGTAGTTTTTGTACTGTATCATCATAAACAACCGCCTGTACCCAACACCTTGTTTGTGACATGCTGCAAAGTGGAGACAGGCAGTGCATATACTTACATCATCTCTACTCCTCCTGGAGTAACAGAAGACGACGTTTGCTCTTTGCTGGATGAGGAATCAGTAGTGCACTCTGGTTCAGAGACAGAATCGCTGCTACAGGGCTCACTGTTTGGGGAAGTGTTTCTTTGAGAGGTAGTGTCAGCTGCTACAGGTGGGACATCCCCTTTGCCAAACGCATCACTTATAAACATGCCTTCATGAGTCAGGTAAGCAACCTCTGTGTCCACCGTGCTGTCTTTAGCAGAGTTCTTTTGTAAGGTGTCCTCCAGGTCTCTGTTTTTTTGGTTCTTGTCTAGAACCAAGAATACCACGCTACGGACAGTATTTAATGTTGCCTAGAATCAAATATAACGTTATTACAAAAAACCCCAACAAAATCCTGTGCCACAAGCTTGTGCTAGAAAGAGATTTTATTTTACCCAGAAAATTAAACTAAATCCTGGCTTTATTTTCTATTGAGTAATTGGCATTCAGAGGCAGACCCATCAGTCTTTGACAATAACCAGTATCAGATATTTCTCAGAATGGTGAAAGAAACCTCATTTGGAGCAATCTAACACGCATAGAAGTTCTGTCCTAATCCCCAGCAGCCTGAAATGGATGTAATCATGCAACAAGAGGTATAATCTCCTTCCCGCTGCTCTCTTTGTTAGCACTAATCATTTTTGCCCTGGATGCCAATATTCACATATCCTCCTCTCAATCAAAATTTCAAACACCATAAGCAAACCCAACACCTTAAGACTTTGAATGGAAAGTAACTTCATTTCACTTCATGTCTGAACTATGCAGAGTTCTTGGTAAATGAATGTCTTACCTTTATTCTCTTCAGGAAGATGGTAAACTTAGAAAAAATATTCTTCAGTAAATCAAACCACTGAGGAAAATTCATCATCCTCATCTGATCTGCAAGCCTAAAAAAAGAGCAGTACTGAATAGTAAACAGCACGTGTTTACTGGCCATAGTGCCTACTGGCACATAAAGAAAAACACACTTTAAATGGAATTTGAAATATAAGGAAAACTGTGTAGACTTTTATCTCGCAGAACAACAGACATTGCCTGAACAACAGTCACAATCAACACAACATATGCAGGTGGAATGGAGAAGGAGCTATACAGAACCAGATCATACTAAAAAACTGAAAGCCTCACATTTACTATTTATTTTTTTTCCAGGGCATAACACTATTTTCCCTGGAATAAGTAGTGTTGACAACAAGGCAGGGCATTTAATAACATTTCCAGAAATAATGTGAAAAAAAATTACAAAAAGAGTTACATAAAAATATTTTGCAAGTGTTACAAAAGCTGTGGTACTAAGCCCATTTTGTTGCATTGCAATGAGACCACTTCTGCTATTAAAGTGCAAGTCAGCTGTTTGTGGCCAAGGCCAGAAGAGTCACTGATAGAACAAAAGTTAAACTGTAACATACAGTTAAGACCTAACTGCAGAATAGTAAACATTGGAGAAAAGTGACCAAATATCCAATGTTTAAAAATGACCCGGTGCCCAGTCTGCTCCCATTCTGGGTATTAATCCCATGCAGATTCTGCCACACACTTTGTTTTATCAGCTTGTCTGGTTTTATCACCTTGGGCTAACACTTTCCCGAGACAAATGAATTGCAGAGCTACAGAAAAAAATCAGAAGTTGCCACAGGCCTTTGGAGCTGGGACCTCTGGAGCTGCCTTGTCCAATCCCTGCTCAACACAGGTCCAACCAGACTGGGCTGCTCAGGGCCCTACAAAGTCAAGGCTTGAATATGTCCTAGGACAGAGATCCCATAGTCTCTCCAGGCCACTGTTCCAGTGTTTGACCATCCTCATAGGGAACACATTTTTCCCCAAGATTGAAATACCATTTCTCATCTTCCGTCTTGCGCCCATTGCCCCTCATCCTTCACCTGCACACCACTGAGAGGAGCCTGGCTCTGCCTACAATTTTACTATAACATTCCCATGGGATAGCTGTAGATGGTTCTCCCCTGAGTCTTTCCCTCCACAGGCTGGAGAGGGACCCATCTTTCCTGGCTGCTCCTGCTATGCGCCATGGTTCAGCCCCCACTGGATTTCGATGTCTTTCTTGTTCCTTGACCTGCTGGCTATACTAACACCACTCAGGCTGTGGCTGCACAAAAGGAGACACTGCTGGTCCATGGCCAAACTGTTCCCCACCAGGTCCTGCCCTGCAAAGCACCTCTGAAGCCAGCCAGCTCCTGTCCTTCCTGTAGCAATGGGTTGGTCCTTCCCAGGCACAGGACTTGGAATTTGCCTTTGCTGGGCTTTGTGAGGTTCCTGCCAGACCGTATCTAGGGAGGAAGTTGTCTGGTCTCCTCTCTGGATAGCTCCTATTCTCATTCATGCAGGAAGTTCTGAAACTACTGACACACTCCAATACAAAATCCCAGATTATGACAACAGGGAATGCCTTCAAGTAGTTAAGAGATATATTCCTAAATACAGTAGTTTATGCTTCACACAGTGAGATGCACAGCATTTCAGTATTGGTTTTAACAGTAATTTTAATTTAAGGTTAGAAACTGAATGAGGAAGGGAATATGCAATATTCTAATGGGGTTGGACAGAAGTAGAGGCTTAACATGAAAGAGAAAGATAATCATTAATTATACAGAAATTTAAAGCAAAAATTAGAATGGTAAATTTATCTATGCTAAAAACCATCCATCTCCTATTGCCACCCACCACCAAATAAAAAATCTGGCTGCATACTTACTTAACAACCACTTCTGTATCTATTTCTTCTATCTGCGATACCGTATTTACCACACACTGTCAAATTTAAAAGGGAAAAAAACAAAACAAAAAAAGATCTTAGCTTCCTTCTAACTGCTGCTGAGTTTCATAACACACACAATAATCCAGAGGTTAAATAAGAAAAAGTAAAAGAAAGGAAAGACATATTTGTATCATTTAAAAACTTGTTTCTCTAAAAACAAAGAAAAACCCCAAAAAGAACCCCACCCAGCCACCCCCACCCAAACATCTGTTTATAAAATACAGATGATCAAAACATTCTCAACTGTGCACTAAGCTCTGGGGGGCACACTGGCTCCATCTCAAAGGGACCTGCTCTTCTGTGCATGGATGCTAAGCACCACTTCACAAATGTCTCTCAGGTCAGGCACTTAAGAACATAAGCCGTATTCTTCCCCTTTCCAATGTGACTGACTTTGGAAAGTGTTGGTTGACATCCTTTTCAGTTTCAAATATGGGATTTGGGTACTAACCTAAACTGGAAGGAACAGCACCAGGGAAGTGTGGAAGCACACACCTACAAGTCCTGTGTTTTCAACGGTCAGAGCAGACCCAATTTCAGCTGCTCTCCTAGCAGACAAGCTATTTGCTGGCTGGCTGTCCTCCTCTTCACCTGCAGGCACCACCTGCCTCTGTCCCTTGATTTCTCCACACCTTTATCACTACCCTGCAGCCTTTCCTCAAAGGATATTTGCTTTTCAACTGGTACACACGAAACTGGCTAATTTCTTCAGGTCTCTAGAACAATCAACTTTTATTCCAAATATATCTATTGTTTTACAGCAATTTGTTCACTGATCTCTTTTCACATTACTTGTAAGCTCTAGATACAAATCAACTCAATTTAGAATGAATTATGGAGTTTCTCCCAAATGCCAATAAATAACCTGGTCAAGGAAGTCAGTAGCATACAAACTCATCTTGCCTTTAAGTGAATATATACAACCCAAATGGTGACCAACAGCTGCCATTTCAGGCTACATGGATTTTACCTGCATTTTGAATAACCATGGTCAGTACAGAGCTTCTTAAAAGCAGACTTTGTTCTTGAACTACTCCCCATGTTCAGTGCTTAAACCTCTGCTCTCTCACCTGCCTGACAATAATGCGCTACTGAAGTACTGACCAAAAACATCCCAGCAATGCATCTGAGCAGGAAGCACATCTGAGATGTGGGAAGGAAACAGTTTCCTTTCTTAAGGAAAAATATCTCTAAGAGTTGAGACAACAGGCCACAATACAAACGCATTGCACAGAAATACTCCATTCCTGTCTATTTTGCCTATTTGATTAAATTTTGTCTACTACTTGAGCAGAGGTGACACCTGAGAAATCCAACACAAAGACAAATATTTCCAGCAGAAAGGGAAAAGCACTTTATGATCAAGAATGAGCAGGAAAACAAGGAACACTACTTGCCTATTATCCAGCTAAACTGAGAATTTCAAGGAAAAAAAAAATCTCTCCTCATGGCTGCTGACACAGGCACGTGAAAAGCCAATAGAGACTGATGGGCACAATAAAGTTTTAGCCCAGTGTTATTTATGCATGGTTTGTTGGGGGGGTTTTTTGTTACACCTTAAATGAGGGCCCAGAACAGCTGCACGCAGCTGTATTCTTGCTTTTCCAGGCTTACAGTAATACAGCATGATTAGAAAGTAGTGCTTACTCCCACCCTCTGTTGATCTTCCAGGGAGTAGTGCACTGACCCAGTCCAGTATTCCATCTCTTCCAGGTGGGGAGAGAATAAGCAGCAAGGGTGCTTACCCTGATTTAAATTGCACCGCTGTTACGTGAGAAAGGGCTCACATCATCACCAAGTCCTGACAAGAAGCAGTGGTGCAGTAGGACACATCACTGTCTGCCCTCTAATTCTGACACAGTATTTACCAGCAACACGGGCCTGTGTTATCTATACCCTCCCTGAACAACCAGATCAACAGAGCTGTGGGGATGCAATGTGAAGTGGATTTGGGGAATCAATCTGGCTTAAAACAAAATCTTAGTAATAATAATGATGATTATCATCCTCCTCCTCCAAACTTGAAAAAGCGGGTTCCCAACCTGGTTTACAACACAGCTCTGAACAGCATGCTATACTATGAGGACAGGAGAGACTGTCTTCATTTGCTGGCAAACTCACCACCTGACCATCTCCCAGCCTTTGAGATACAAATCAGAGGTGGCTCACAACACATCAGAAAATGACTCTTGAAATAATCACATTATCTTTAGGGGAGAAAAACACCCCTTAAATAATATTCTCACATATGCATGCAAACAAACGAGTAAAAACCAAAAGTCCCAAACACACTCAAAGTTCAGTCTACAGATTTTGTTTGCAAACAACAGCCATCATGTTGCTGTCCAAAATATTCCATGCATTTTTTCACAAAAAGTCATCTCAACTTCGTTAATTTGTTAGCTTTAGCTGGTTTTATCGACAAAGATTTTTGGTTTTAAAAGACAGATACACTACCTTAAATAGCAAACAATGACAGCAATGCAGACAAGGGTTTTTGTGTGTTGTATTTTACTTTTTGATTTTGAAACAGGGTTTTATGACACAATTATACTATTCAGGAAAGCAATGTGTTAAGAGGAAAAAAAACTTAAGTGAAAATCAGGCGACTCAGAACAAACAATGGTAATTATACAAAGAAAGCTGAAATCGGCTGTACTTGTGCCATCTCCTCCTTCCAGAAGGTCCTTTCTGTAAGCAGACATCTGTGCTTCAAGAAGTCCTTAGTGCCCCCAAGTTCAGCTGCTCTAAATGAGAGACCACCAGCCACCAAAAAACTTCATCAGAACTGTTCTTAACTACTAAAAATAATTGTAAGGGGTTGAGGCAACCTTATAAGATAAAACACATAACCTGCAAGACATTGAGACAACCTTGTCAGATATGTTAGAAATGTTTGGCTTACCTGTTTAATTATGTTCTTCGCAGTAATAATCATTTCATCTCCATATATTTCATAAAAATTTAGCTTTCTTTGTTTTAAAAGTCCAAATACTAGTGACACAAGTCTCTCCTATCAAGAAGAATAAAAAATTAGAAAGACTACAATAAAAATATTAAGGTGAGGACAAGAAACAATTTTAAGAAATTACACAGCAGTAAGAAAGTTCATGGTTTGAAGCCATGGTAAACAGGATTTAGATAGTCCAGCTCCTTGAGACAAATGCCCAGGACTTAACTATACAGAGTTCCCTGTGGCAATGCCAGCTAACGAATCCCTTTCTCCCAGCCCCTTCCATGCCTGTTCCACAGTTGTGCTCATCCAATTGTGCTTAAAAACATGGATATTTCTAAACATTAATGAGTTTCCTTATCCTGAGTAAAAAGGACACCAAATACAATTGCACCAGCACAAGCGAGTGCTTTATCACATTGCATCATAAAGGTGGGAAGAAGCTATAGGGCAGAAATGAGAATATTTAAGCGTTATTGCCATTCACTATATTTCATGAAACCCATGGATGAAAACAAGACAATCATATGCTTGATACAGGCACCCATAAATGCACAGGGAGACAGAATGAGAACAACATGCAACTACCAGCTTCCATTGCAAAACTGGAATTTTACAGCCAAGTAGATGAGAATCCATGTTCTTTTCCACTTACGTGTTTAGGTTTATGAATTGTACTCAATATATATTTAATCAGAGGAAAGAGAACTGACTATTTTGGAAAAAAAAAAAGTAGGGCTAGACTGCAGTTACACGAGTTTAGTTACAATTATTTAATTTTACCAAGCACAAAAAAAAAGTCAAGGGAGCGTGACTTGGGGTTTGGACTAGAAGAGAAATAGTTTAAAATTATAATGTTGCTACCAGGGACCTGAGTGAATTAGTTGGTGCTAATTAAGTATGTTAAAGATGCAAACATATTCATCAAACAGTTTATTTCAATAACAGACATACCTCTTCTAGAATTTGGCAATCATCTTCTAGGGGTCTATTTAAATCATTGCGAGCATAAGTTGAAAACTCTGCAATCATCATTTTATCTATCAGCTTTTCCAGTTCACAAAGCTGTGAGCCGAGATGCCTAAGAAAAACAGTCATTGAGATATGAGCTCAATAATCAACCTGAAAATGAATAATTAGTTCACATTTGAAGAAAATAACCACCCAGCAGGTAATTTCCATGCAATCAATGCTGGTTTAATGGAAGCCTCAAATCTTTCACTTCTTAGAGCAGCTGAAACCACGCATTTCTCAGAGGCACCGTCATCTCAAAACATATGGACTTGAATATTGATGGAGGGTAAAAAGTGGATGTAGGGCTTTTCCCCTTTTTCCAAAAGGAAGGTGTTGAGTACCTCTTTTTCCAATGAAGTGAACCAGAACCAAAAATACTAAATCCTTGTCAGTATACAGGTGTTAAAAAGGAGGAATACTACTTCTGCTCATCTAGTTCCTCAGCTCAGTCTGCGAGTTCTTCCACTTCAAACATTTGAGCTTTTAAAGTAGTCACAGATTTAATTCACATGACTAAGATACAGTAATGGCTTAAATGACAGGATGGCTTTCCAAGAACACAGAAGAGTTTTTGAAGTTGCCATTTTTAGGCAACTCTATATTGAAAGTATTTTTTTCTTGTATTGCTGATTTTAAACCATGTTCTGCAGACTGCTGTCACACAAAAACACAAGGGAATTTCTCACATCAGAAACACTGACTAGTCATTCAAAGTTGTGCAGCTAGACAAACTTTTAGCAAAGTAAAATTAAAAGTGGGAATTTCAGAGATGTCAAACACTCCAGGCTTTCCAACTTCCACCAACAGCTGAGATCACCAAGTATCTCTAAAAATGAGGCTGCTTTTTCTTTTTTAAAGTATAAGTAGACACTTAGCCAATGAGACTTAACAGGAGCTGTGATATTTTAAATAAAGCTGCATTCAAAATTGAGAGAATGAAGCTGCATGGCTCACTGGCTTTAATTCAGTGCTGGTGTAGATGGACCATTAGCTTGCATAGAGTGGCAAAAATGTCTCAAGACTCCCTGGTAGAAGCAGCAGCATTGTTGTACCAATGCAAAGCCCATAGGATTTGGCCTTGAAACCCATGCAGCGCAAAGTCATTGCCAGAGTGCGAGGAAGCACAATGCCAGGGTAGCTCCTCTCTGCAGAAGGCCACATAGCCAGCACTGAGCTGAGCTGAATGAATCTTTTGCTGGATCCAAATTCAGCTGATTTTTTTATTTATTTTAGATTGATCAGGGATGTGTTTGCTTTTGAAACTGTTGATGAAGAATTGGCTGAAATGGACAAATTAAGTACACATTTCAAATTAGTATTTAACTTAAGCAAAACTGGCCTCTAGAAAAACATCTAAGTCCCTTGCATCACAGACATTTCAAAACAAACTCAACGGACAAAATTAAAGATTATAATTTGCAATGTAATGAGTGGACTTGCAAAACTCACTGCAGAACTAACACCTACAACATAAAGGCTCTCACTTAGGTAAGCACAAAGATGCTTTTTGGTAAATTATTCCTGTAATTGTGTTTAACTACACTGAGACACAACGTAACCTACCCTCTGGTATGGAAACGTCCAACTAGAATTGTCACCACTTCACCTGAGATGCTCTACCCCAACAACAAAAAGAAATCCCTCCACCTCAAAACACGCAGGGAGAAATCAAACGTTACTTCATAATAGGAAGTAAAGGACCAGGGAGAATCTCCAGTTCTTAAGG